ACAAAGTGCCACCATGCGGATGAGAATCACCTGTGGAGAGGTCCCAGAAACCCCTTTCAGCCGTTTTGGCCACTTCGTGACCTGGCTATACTTAGGGGCCCCGGCAAAAGCCAGGATGGGGCTTCAAATAATGAAAAATTAAGATTACCAGATTATTCTGTCAGTTGCTCTAAACACCTTACTTAGTAATCGTTGTTGGTTCTTTTGTTGCGATCTTGAAATAATCGAGAATCTAGTGCTTTTATCTTTTCAAAATGGGGAATTAGTATCGCAACTGTTTTGTATTCGATTTGTTTCGATTTCATTTCCGTGACAACAAACTTTCTTGAGTCAAGAACCAACACAGCACTTGAAATATTCACATATACGATCAGTCCTTTTTTTCAGCAGTCAGCGAAGAGTTCCAATCGCTATGGTAACAGTAGCTCGTGATAAAACAACACTATGCTCGTATAGGAGTTTTGATACTCTAACTATAACTTTTAGAATTATATTTTTTAGAAGGTTAAAATTTGTGTATTTTCTTACTTTTTGTTCATCATCTGTAAACTCCGGCGGACATTATTTTAATTTACGGTTGTTCATCCACTTTGACTTCTGGACTTTGGTCGTAATCAAGAACGGATGTCCATATAACACTCAGGTTCTGGAACCGGGCTAGAGTCCAGACGTGGATGAACAACCAGAACTTTCTGCCAGAGATTACAGCCGGTAAACTCGAAGAAGAAGAAATTCACATGGACTTCAAACATACACAAGTTTTGTTTTAACTTGCAGTTTATAAGACCAGAAAGTGACCACTAAACTAGCAGATTTACCTAATAAGGAGTCTGTCCCAGAACTAATGAAACATGAAGCTAACAGCCACAAGTATCTAAAGGGAGCCTTACCAAGATGGTTCCACAGTGAAAAGGAAGAATTTCAGTGTGTTAAACAACATTGTGAGAATGTGTAAAACATTGATAAGACTAGTTGTCTTATATGGCTCTGAAACCTCGAGTACCTGTGGAAACCTGTTTTTGAAAACATTGTCTTACAGTGAGGCTTTGGACCCATCAAAGGTGCAGACAGCATAGAAAGGAGAGCGAGAAGCAACAATAAAATTTATAATCTTTTTTAAAATCACTATTGATCACTGGCATCTTGAGGGCTTATAGACTGAAATGGCTGAGTTATATAAAAAGAATGGCAGGTGCTAGAGGGGCAAAAACTGTGTAAACAAAGGAGTTGAATGGCCCTAGATGAGGCACACCAAGAAAACTGTCGAAATATAATTTCGAGGCAGACGTACAAACACTTGGGGTCACTACATTGAAAGACGAGTTGCATAGATCAATGGAGGCGGGTGATATCTGCAGCCGTGAACCTCAAGGGCTTGGAATGCTTAATGAAGAAGAAGAAACAATACCCACATTTTTACTAGCAAACAAATTTCTAACAAAGGTTTGACTCCTACATATAGTATCAGGCACTCCAAAAACAACATCAGTGAAAGAACTAAAAATGGTAGTGAAATAACCCCTAATTTTGGAAGAAAGTAGTTGAGTTTCAGTTATACTATCAGAGTAATACCGGACAATATTCTTCCGGCATATGCAACTTTTAACCAATCAAAAGACAACTGAAAAGTACAAGATAAAAAAGTATGCCTCTATTGTCCCACCATGGCAAAATGTAAGACTAGAAACTGACTATTAGCTAGCAGCTATTCTAAATAAGAAGACAATACTAGCAATTTTGAAAGATGATGCCAATGGTCCCAAATAACATAGATTTAAAGATAGTCTGACTATTTATACAGATGGTTTGAAAGATGAAGATGACAGTTTAGGAATAGGTATATGCATCCCAAAATGGAAACTCAAACTTATTTCAGAACGAAAGGAAGCTCAGTACTAATTATGTGGGTACCAGCACATGTGGGAATTCAAGGAAATGAAAAGACAGCCAGCAAAGCAAAGAAAAGCAGAACAAACAATAATAATCATACATGTAGCTATAAGTAAGGATGATTGAAATCAGTAATTTTTTTAATAATAACAAAAGAATGGACACTGATGTGGAATGCAAGCTTCAGAGTAGAGGCATACCTACAAATTGATAAGAGCTTCAACTAGTTAATGTCAGGTAACAGTAATGGGGCAACTATCTTTCCTGTTGACACACAAGCGGATACCTCGGAGTAATAAAGTGAATCTTATCAGAACTATTTTTTGGCCAACACTATGCTATCAATGCCAAACGTGGACACTTACATCCTCCAACGAACGTAAAATTGTGACAACAGAGATGAAAGGCCTTAAGAGAGCTGCAGGAGTTTCATGGAAAGACAGAATAGGAAATCAGACAAATGCTAGGAATAAAGCCAGTCTTACAAGTCATTAAAGAACAACAAATGAAGTGGTTTGGACACCTAACAAGAATGCCCTGGTACTATCTGCCACAGCGAGCCACACTAAAAAATTACAATGCGTATAGAGCGAGTGGAAGACTTTAGAAAAGATGGAGTGATGGCATTAAGAACAGCCTTACAGAAATGAACATCAGTCTATATAGTGCTCTTGACAGAGCTTATCAATGAACATTACATCTTCCCCCGACACTTCGATGAGGTACAAGGTGGAAGAGAAGAAGAATGTCAAGTAACTAATCCACTAAAACAAATCTCCTGCAATAAAAAAAAAAATTACTCATACTGCAGCTTGGAGTGGCTTATTTCACTGTACCAGAAGACACTTGAATAGCAGAAATGTAGCAGTACTGCACACTATTTACTATATTGCAAGTCGTATGAACTCCAAAGGACTGCCCTTTGAGAATATGTGACCTGCTGCATTAAGTTTTGGAAGTAGAAGATTTGCTGGATATATACAGTTCTTGAGAACTACAGGAAAGGATTAAATAGTACGTTACAAGAGCATAGGATTGTTAATGAGGTGGTAATCTCTCATAAGACAGAATAGTGGTATCCCAAATCCCTTAAAATACTCCTAAAGATATATTATACAAAAAGATTATTATAATTGTGTAACAGGTACTCTTAAAATATATTAACATGAAAATTATATTATATTATTATATAAAAAGATTATCATAATTGTATAACAGGTACTCTTAAAATATATTAACATGAAAAGTATATTATAATTACAGTTACATAATCTGTGCACTCCTAATTAACTAAAACTAAATAACAAGCATAAATATGCAGTATTGAAATAGGAAGAAAAAACACTATATATTTCAGTTTTAACCCACATGGGTTCAACAGAATATTATTTTTTTTAACTGCTATAATCTAATAAGTACCAAGGTTTGTGGTAGTCAAAGTATAGCAATTAAAATGTTCTTTGCAACTACTAGAGAATATAAGGTGTTGATTATATGCAGGGATTAAATACTAGAGGAAGTTTTGTGTTGATTGTATGCAGGGATTAAATACTAGAGGATGTTCATTGTGATTGTATGCAGGGATTAAATACTGGAGGATGTTCATTGTGACTGTATGCAGGGATTAAATACTAGAGGATGTTTATTGTGATTGTATGCAGCAATTGAATACTAGAGGATGTTCAGTGTGATTGTAGGCAGGGATTAAATACTAGAGGATGTTTAGTGTGATTGTAGGCAGCAATTAAATACTAAAGGATGTTCAGCCTTAATTGTACGTAGGGATTAAATACTAGAGGATGTTCAGCGTTTATTGTACGTAGGGATTAAATACTAGAGGATGTTAAGCTTTAATTGTACGTAGGGATTAAATACTAGAGGATGTTTATTGTGACTGTATGCAGGGATTAAATACTAGAGGATGTTCAGCGTTAATTGTACGTAGGGATTAAATACTAGAGGATGTTCAGCGTTAATTGTACGTAGAGATTAAATACTAGAGGATGTTTAGCATTAATTGTAAGTAGGGATTAAATACTAGAGGATGTTCAGTGTGACTATATGCAGAGATTAAATACTAGAGGATGTTCAGCGTTAATTGTACGTAGGGATTAAATACTAGAGGATGTTTAGTGTGACTGTATGCAGGGATTAAATACTAGAGGAGGTTCAGTGTTAATTGCATATGGTCTTTTTTTTTTAGACAAAAAGATGCCAGTGCTCACCCCAAAGCAATTTAAAAAGTTCTAGTACTCACCAGTAAAAGTGCTGATACTGTGTACCGCTATAAAAAAAACACATGACTGTATGGGCACCAGCACGTGTGTGAATTCAAAGAAATAGAAAGCTGAACACAAAAATTAAGCAAAGCAAGGTAGAATATTAAAAAAAAAAGTAGATGTGCTCTTGAGCAAATCTGAAATTAAAACAGCAGTTAAAATATAGAGTAACAGAGGAATGGACCCTTATGTGGAATCAAATCTTTATAAAAAAAAAGAAGATGTGCACATAGATAGAAGATCAAATTGGAACTTTCAAATAATAAATCATCTTACAGTTTCTTGCAGTAAACAAAATTACTCAATCTACAACCTAGAGTGGCTTATTTTACAACAACAAAAAAGCAACAACAACAAAACAAAACAAAAAAGAAAACGGAAAGCTACAATTTTAATGAACTATACATTATTTACAAATAAATATGAACTTTAGAGGAGTCTGTGGCCTGTGCCCATCATTAAATAAAATAAAGAAGACAGGAATCATGGGAAGCGAAACAAATTCTTTCTACTGCTAAACTTGAATGTGGTTACTATCTCAGCCTAAAAATCAAAGCAGACAACAAATTTTTATCTACAGCAAAACTTGAATGTGGTCACTATCTCAACCTAAAAATTAAAGCAGACAACAAATTTTACCTACTGCAAAACTTTAATGTGGTCACTATTTGGGCATAACTAAAAATTAAAGCAGACAGCAAGCTTTATCTTTTGAAAAACTTGAATGTGGTCACTATTTAGGGCTAAAAATTAGATAACAAATTCTTTTTACTGCAAAACTGGAAGTTGATCACTATTTAAGCTTGAAAATCTGGCTGAATGTTTCCACAGATTTGACCATGTCTCAGTCAGTAAACAAACCACCACCTTCAGGACGACCTGAAGCACAAGCTTTCACGGCCATCAAGTTTCATGTTCAGCAGTCAAATGGAAACTTTCTGATTCAAGAGGTCAGAATTCATTTCTTAAATCTTTCTATCCCAGATGTGATACCAGGTGTCATGAGAAGGAAATGAACTTGATGATTATTATTCCTGAAATCATCATGTTCTTGTACTGTTTAATCATCACCTGGGGCTTACCTGTGCAATATTTTTTTTAATCCCATGCATGGAATCCAATTCATTCGCTTTAGCCACTCTCATCTTAGGGTTTCTCTCGAATTTCTCGAAGTTTTCTCTGACCATTTTTTTTTTTCATTTCAGTTCTTGTTTTGTTGTTCTTTTTCCTTTTTATCTCAGTATATTACTATCTTTTATCTCTCGTAACTGTTGATAACAGCGGTTGTCCAGATATGTTGATATCAGCAGTTGTCCAGATATGTTGATATCAGCAGTTGTCCAGATATGTTGATATCAGCGGTTGTCCAGATATGTTGATATCAGCGGTTGTCCAGATATGTTGATATCAGTGATTGTCCAGATATGTTGATATCAGCGGTTGTCCAGATATGTTGATATCAGTGGTTGTCCAGATATGTTGATATCAGCGGTTGTCCATATATGTTGATATCAGCGGTTTTCCAGATATGTTGATAACAGCGGTTGTCCAGATATGTTGATATCAGTGGTTGTCCAGATATGTTGATATTAGCGGTTGTCCAGATATGTTGATATCAGCGGTTGTCCAGATATTTCTCTTATTTCTTCAACTTTTTGAATTCTTCCCACAAACTTGTACAATCTCTTGTTTCTGACCACCTTTGTTGTCTTCCCAAATACAGTTTTGACATTTTCAGGGGTGCCAATTCAGATTTTCTTAGGCAAAAGGAGGCAGGATACAGACTATTGTCATCTTGTTTTGTTTTTTTTTTTGTTTTTTTTTATATCTCTTCAAGAAGGAGTGCCACCCCTCATCTTGGAAGAATAAGTATCATTAAAATTGGGTATCCTCTTATACACAGAAGGTGTTTACAATATTTATTTTATTTTACACCCAAAAATAGTCTTATACAAGGTGGCATATGATACACGGAACAATTCTGAAAATTTTATTTATGTTTTAGACTTGTGAGTGCTTTTTGCAGCTGAAGATTTATTTCTGTGGAGTGGGTGTAGCCAACTACAAGATCAGTTCATTTCTCCTGGGGGAGAGATAGTGAAATAAAAATATGAAGTACCTAAATCAGACGAAATCAGGCTGGTGAAAAATTTCAGAAACAAATAATAATTTTATTTAGAACCATGAGTTTAAAAAATAAATATTTTATCATGGTTATTAAAAATAATTATATACAGCACACTCAGATGGTCGGTCTCTGTGGCTCAAGCGTTGTGAACGTGCTTCATAATTCTGAGGTGTCGGGTTTGTTTCAGCTGCAAGTGATTTGACAGCAGACAGCCTTGCTTTGATTTTGACAGTGGTATCGAGAACTGACCGTTCAGAATGCCATGACAAACTACTGAACATAACATTGTGTAATGAAATCACAAAAAGTCAGGTAACAACAAAAAAGCTCCATTTTGATCCCGCTAATCACAAAACCTACCATTCATGTGGTAAAAGATGACTAAAAGTCAGCTTAAGACTGTCTACCCAATCCCATAATTTAACCGATTGTGTTTATGTCTACAAAAAGCTAGTCGTGAGATTCTTAGGCATAAGTGGGAGTTCTTTTTCGCATCCATCTCTGTAAATTACGGCAAAAAATTCTGGTTGTTCATCCATTGGACTTTAGTCTTGTTCCAGAACCTGAGTGTTGTGTGCATATCCATTTTACAGATCTGGCTTATTTCTATGCAGACTCTTGGTTCCTTGTCTCTCAGGCAGATTCACTCCGACTTCGAAGGATGCCCCTAATTAATCAACTGTTACGAGATACTTGTTGGGGAGGCAGTGGGTCTATTCTTGTTTTCCTGACTGTGGGGCCCCAGAATCCACATGGGGAACTTGGAGATGGAGACGGAGGACTCTCTATATTGTGTTGGTCAGTGATAATTACCTTACCCAAGAATGTCCCTAGGCAGGAAGGGGAAAGAATTAGCCTTTCTTTTCCTTTGACAGAGGATGCCTCTGCCCTGCTAATGTATACCCAATACATTTTAAGTGACTATATTTTTTGAAAGAAAGTAGGCAAATATTATGGTTACAAAGGAAAAAAGTGATCATCATAACCTTTTCTTCAGCTTCTTCTTCTTCTTCTTAACATGCACCAGCTGTGGAAAGTTCTTGTTGTTCCCCCACTTCTGGTCTTTGGTCTTGTTCCAAAACTTGCATTTTGCAGGCGCATATATTTTATAGCTCTAGCTTATTTATATGCGGACTTTTGGTTCCTTGCCTCTCAGGCAGGTGCGTTCCTTTGAAGGAAACAACCCTAATTAGTCATCTTTTACATGCTTGGGCAGCAGTTCTGTTTGTTTCCCTCCATAAACAAGAGCTCCAGAATCCACACGAGGAGGCATAATTTGTCATATTTGCTGTAGAATGTACACAATTTTACTTGGTAAAATTATCTATAGAAGAAATGACACAAAATAAGGTAATAACATGTAAAAAAGCTTTTTTTTAACTGCTTCTTAGATCAAATATTGTATAACTTTTATAATTTTTCAGGCTGATTGTCTGGTTACATCATTAATTCGTGGCCTTAAAGAGGATTTATCAAGACAGGTAGGTCTTTTATGATTATCTGTTACTGTACCGTGGATTAAAATGGAAAATGAGATTTTAAAAGTATTAGGTTTTCATTTTACTATGCTAGTTGGATAGGAGGTGCACTACAAAAATATTAATAGGATATAACAAAAACTGTTCTATTATAACATATTGACTTTCTTGTACAATATAGTGTTCTTATTAGAAGTCGCGGAAAGAATGTTAGTGTTCCGAGCAGCTGTTTTAACAAATGGATGTTAAGACTAATTGGTTGAAATGCATCCACTGAATGACTGAGTTTTAAATCTAAAGCTAAGGCAATTGCTCTAGGATTATCTGAATTTGAAAGACCTAGAATTTGTTAAGAGTAAGTTTAGCATTGAACTATTTCGCTTGACTCAAAACCAAAGAGTCATATCCACTGGGACTGTTGCAGGAGTTTCTGTTTTCTGAAAAACTGGAAACTGGAGTCTGAGTTGTTTGCAATGCTCTAAACAGATAGCCAGTCGCTCTTCGGAGAGAGACTAAGCCCTTGGAGACAGACCTTAGTGCAGTGACATTTTGTAATTTTAAATGATGCACAAATAAAACAGTTATATAACTTGAGCCAGTATTGTTTTGTCATAAACACACATGATGCACATACAGAGAAATACAGTCACAAATTTCAATACAAATATATGTTGATTAGAAATTAGATATTGTGAGGGCCCTTTGGGAGTGAGTGAACAGTTTAGAGGCGCAGATAGATAGACCATTGCGGTCTAAGGAGAACTGCGCTGTGAGGAGTTACCAGGGGATCTGGCCGACACTCAACACGTAGGTGAAGGATGAGACAGATATACAATCAGACAGTTACTGGTGCCATTGGAATTGGAACCCTTCACTTGCTACTGAAGATGGGGACTGAGCACTTATGGGAGTGTTCCGAGTGCTGTGATGTTGATTCTTAATTCAACATATAAGAAATAACTTATTATTTGATATATTGGATTATTATGTTTGTTTAACTGTGTACATAACAGACCGCTTTAGGCAATCTCAGGTGTGGCGAATTTCTGTTGTGAAGAACAATTTGCTTAACATCCGGCAATTTCTCTTACTTGAACTCTTCTCTGTATAAGAGGAATTTCTGATAAGAAAAACCCGTCATTGGCAACTATTTAAGAATTTTCTGAAATCGAAAGTATTTTGCTGAAAGGGGCAGATATTGCAGCCTAGTTTTAAAGCACAGCAACGTCCCAACTGCTTTTTACAGACGAATGCAGAAGAAGAAGAGGAAGAAAATGTTAATATTTTACTTAGTAATTATGACTCTCTGTATAGAAATGTGCTCAATATATTGTATAATCTTTCTTTGAAATTCTTGTGTTATTTATCCTTAGCATGTTAGTTGTTAGTATTTGGCAAAAGCAGTATTTGTTTGTTACTTACGAATCATCCAGAGAAAGATGGAGACATTCATGCTCTATTCAGAGTGTTAAACTTTACTTCTGAAGTCCCTAGTAGTTAGCATCCTTTGGATATTTTCTCCAGTGGATGCACGTGTGAGGAAATGAACAGATAGATTGGTTGGTGTACACCACTGGGTGGTGACTTGATACATGACAAGCTGGGTCAAAGCACTCTGGGAGCAAGTGAATGTTACAAAAGCATAAACAGATCATTATGGTAAAGAGAGAATGATGCAATAGTGAGTGACTAGAGGTATTCGGCTGACATTCTGCGCTCAGAGGAAAGACAAGATGGTCGGTCATATAATCAGACTGCAACTGAGACTGGTGAGGAGTAGAACAAAGCATGTCTGGTAATGTCCGAAGCACAGTGATGTTATGTTTGACTCGGCCCACAGGCTTGTGTGCCCAGTTCTCAAGTTTTTGAAAATAAAGTTTGTTAATTTGTTTATTTGTTAGTTCATTCAATCAATGCTTATTATGTAGGAAACATGTCCTATATGAATTTGCCATACATGAATTTGTCATATATATATATATATATATATATATATATATATATATATATATATATATATATATATATATATATATATATATATATATATATATATATCTTGTAAAATTTTGTAATTTTATTATTCCAATAGCTAGGACCTCCTGACAGTCAGAACTGGTTCTATCAAGGCAGACTGATGTCAGACAACGAAAAACTCCGGGATTATGGGATTAATGGCGAAGATGAGGCTGACATAGAAGTAAAGCCATTCTAATACATAAAGAATTTTTTCGTTATCACTAACATACAGAAAGACCTTCACAAGATTTGTATGTAGGAATGTAAATTGACTTTAATTCTAAGAGCGATAACAATTGTTATCCCATAGCTATCCTTGATTATTATAGAGCAGGCCGCTAAAGGTGATCTCAGATGTAGCGAATTTCTCTTGTGAAGAACAATTTGATATTTTCCCAGCAATTTGACATGCTCAAATATCTATCTGGATAAGAGACATTTCTGACAAGAAGAATCATTTCTTGGGTCCCGGTAACTTCTTCTTGTCAATTCTGCACCGTATATCTGAATTGTTTTTATTTTATTTTTTTTATTATTTCATTTAATGCTTACTTCTATGAGATAAAGTTAAAGTTGAGGAAATAAACTTTATTTCAAAGGGTGTTATCCCATGTAACTCAAGTCTCTCTACTCAGAATGGCTAGCTATCTGCCAAGAGCATCACAAAGAGCATGAACACCATAGCTCCAGTGACAGTCCCCAGGGATCTCCATACACATTGCACATGTGAACTGAATGTCGTGATCTGTGAAACGAACCCGGGACTTTTAAAGTGCAAGATGAATGACTTCGCCACAGAGACACCCTCCCCTTGAGATTAATTAGATTTATATTTAGTACATTTATATCCGTGTGTACCAGGGAGGGGGACGGCTTCCCCCACCCCCTCCCTCTCTAAAAGATTTCTTTAGGGACTGAAGGTACTGATGCCCCTACGTTCGGGGCTCTCTTGATGCCTAGTCATTGATTAACAAGTTCATTCCTGAAATTCCTTATGGCCATTTTCATTGAAAGGTGTTGACAATGACATGTCTAAACTCAGCTAACTATACAGTCAATCAGGCAGTCATACAGTTGATCAACCAATCACACAGTCAATAAACCAACCATACGGTCAGACAGCCATACAGTCAATCAGCCAACCATACAATCAGTCATCCTTACAGTCAGTCAGACAGCCATACTGTCAATCAGCCGGCAGTACAGTCAGTCATACAATCAGTCAGCTAACCACACAGTCAACCAACCATTCAATGAGTCAGACAGCCATACAGTCAATCAGCCAACCATACAATCAGTCATCCTTACAGTCAGTCAGACAGCCATACTGTCAATCAGCCATGCAATCAGTAAATCTACTATACAATCAAGCAACAAACTCCACACTCAACACACCATAATTTCTAGTTTTGGTAAATTGAATTTGAGTTAATAATAAAATATACATAATATGTGTGTCTGTTTTTAAATGATGAAACAAGGTTACTTCATTTAATTATGTGAGTGGGTTTCAAATGAAAAACTTGAAAGTTTGATAGAAATTACAATATTATACCGTTGTCTTGCAACCTGTCAGTATCGTTACAAATGACAGGCATGTGTCAGCATACTGGACTTGTATTCACACAGGAATTTATTTAGGTTTCACCCCTTTATTGATAAACAAAATGGTTCAGAGAATGCTGCTCCTTTTGAAAGTGAGGTGGCTATCTTTAAACTGTCAGTTTGACATCACCAAGTTTGTCTACATTGTGATGTTACATGCATAACAGGCTTGACAACCTTAACAACCAGTATTGACTGGTTACAAGACAGTGTCATCGTTATTGTAATTTCCAGCACTCTGTTAAGGTTTTTATTTAAAGCTCCCCTCATAGGTGAACTATTTTATTTTGTAGGATCCATGACAATTGAGAAGCTCGCTTGCTTTCTTGCTAGTCTGGTGGTCGAGTCTTCTAATCCAAACAAAAGTGGAGATTTGTTTTTTGCTGACCAAAATTGAGACCAGGAAAGTAAAGACAGCTTCTGTGATACTGATTGCATTACTAGTCAGGTGGCAGTCCCCTGGATGTGTGATATTGTCAACCTCCCACTGGCCGCCAATACTATCTGAAACATTTCCTCTACCCATTTAAGGCTGGGTTGGCCTGGGAGTCTTAGGTCATTTATAAAGATCCATCATACTGCAGATTTGAACCCACGACTTTTGGGCCTGCAAACAAGCAGGGAGCTTAGCATGTTTGCTACAAAAGGCAAGCTATTTCAAGCAGCAGTCACTGAGAATCTTTCCAGAATGGTTGTTGCTATTCTGTTTATTTGTACAGTTTTCGATGTTACATTTTTGTTGGGTGGTAATCACATTGAGAATAAATAAGCAAGATTTGTTGTTTTAGGTAGCTCAGATAGTCTGGCACACAGGTTCCAAACTGGTTGTTTGCAGACTTATGTCGGTGAAAGGTAGGATGTCCATGACACTTATTTTTAGTGCAAGTCTGCTATAGATTTACATTTTTTTTTTAAACCTACTGTAGATTTGCACCTTTTTAGTGTTGAATCTACTATATAGATTTACTATTTTTTTAGGCAAGTCTACTTTAGATTTACTATTTTGGGGGGAAAGTATACTACAGGTTTACTATGTTTTTTTTTAGCATGTGAACTGTTGATTTGAAAGCAATGACAAACTACTGGACGTAAATTTGACTAGAAAAACCACACAACAGCCAGGGGCTGTTGGAGTTGGTTCTGCAACATCCTGTAAAGGAAACACAACAAACCAACCGGTGATTTAATGTTGCCTTTTTTTTTCAAGTGTACTATTGATTTACTGTTTTTGTTTTTTCTTTGGTAAGTCTACTATACATTTGGTTTTTTTTTTTTTTTTTAATTCAGTATGACTATTAAAAATGATTGGATCCATGGTAGACCTTCGAAAAAAATGGCTGGGTCAGAGTGTCTTGTCTAACTAAAAAACTCCGGTCTAGGAAACTGTTGTGCTCATGATGAGAAATTGTGTTCATGTTGCTGTATTTATCAGGTATAGGGGCCCCATCTGCATGAATACCAACACAAAGAAAGGGCTGGCTCTCAAAGGAAGGAGGGAGGTAGGCTTAACCCCCCTAACAAATTGGGGGGGGGGGGGGGGCTCAAGGAACCTAGTTCCCAGGTTATAACGGCCCCTGCCAATCTGTACAGGAAAACTACCAATTGGTTTGTGTGGTTGCTACTTTTCATTACTTCAGCTCATAATGTTCAACTGATAAATGGTCGTCATAATTAACATTCAATATTTAAAGTCATTCTAGGAAGTTTGAAAACACTGTGACTGGTCCAGCAAACTGACAGTGGTTTATTTAGCGCTTGTGAAAAAATGGAGAGATCTCATTTAATCTTACTAATGCTATGCCATCAATGTCAAACATGGACATTGTGTCTTTATAAGACTGAAGGAAAATAGTCATGACAGAAATAAAATGTTTACATACTATGCTTGGTATTACAAGGAAACATCAACTTATGAGAGTTAATATGAGGAGGAGAGTCAGCACAGAACCAATTTAAACTTTATCATTAAAAAAGCAGATCAAATGGTTTGGTCATGTAACAAGATTGGCAACAGACAGGGCACCACAGAGAGCAGTATTATATAGATGCAGTGATAACAGAGCCAAAGGTCAACTATGCAGAAGATGGACCTCGGAAATATCGGAGACACTGATAAATACAACAAATAAAGTGAACAGAAGGGTCTGTTCCAGAGATCTCTTCCTCCCTTGACGCTGTGAAGTATTCCAGGAGTTAAAAAAAAAAGAAGTATTTGAAGTTTTTGACCAGCGATTATCATCACAGGTAGCCTTTCCTTACTGTTATTGGTCAAGGTCACAGGCAGGAATAAAATATTAGGATAAAAATAGGGGGGGGGGGGTGGACTCAGCCTTCTTTCACTTTCTGATGCTCAAGAGATTTAAGTCTAGTTGAAGTGCATAATTATTATTGTTATCATTTTTATTATGTGCTGAATGGTAAATAAATATTATAATATATATTGATTGATATGAATTGTTTCAATAAATACTTCAAATAAAATAAATTGTTAAGGGAGCACCGCCTAGCAGCTATACATTTTCTAGGGGTGGGTGTGAAAATATTGTGGGGTGGGAGAGGTGTCTGAGCTGGGAAGTTCCGGCATGCATCTTTAGTCCCCATTCATAAAATGGCAGACGTGATGTTGACTATGTATAACCACGGCCAGCTCCAGATTTATAGTCAACAATTAGTAAAGAGGCAAAGAGTGACTTGCTGTGAGAGGTTAGTTAGTAAATTAAATATTATTTTCATCCACTTACCTAGAGCTCCAAAATATCTTGGCACAATTTATCCACAGTGTGGTTGCACCATTTATGCACAGTCAATATGAAAGCAATAGTTTTCTTCAAACACAAGATAGTTTGCACCTGACAACTGTCGATATTCTCTAGATATGGCTTCTAAATTACTTGTTTGTATTATCCCTAAAAGTAAGATTTCTACATTTAAAGTAGAAAAGTAATAAACAGCCAGTTCTCAAAAATCCGAACTACTGACTAGAAACAGTGACACACTGACACACACATCACAACTGTATTCCGTGAATTAAAATTGCTGTATATCCACTTCACAATATCCATTTGTAGATTTGTAATACGGATACGTTTAGAACACAGGACTTTGTAAGCATATTAATCTGTCACACAATGCAACATGGAAACGCTCCCAGTAACCTATTTTCGATGGGGACTCCTCCAAAATGTTCCGTGATCCAGTTGTCAGGACCAACATACAGCCGGACGTGGTATAACCCATTGAACGAAGGTTGGTCTACAGAAAATGAATCCAGCATCAGATGCGCAGTTTGCCAATGGAGCATAAAGTGATCCTTTAGAGCAGATTGATTCAACTGGCATTCTGCGGACTGAATCTAGCTTGCAGAGGCTTACCAGGTGGACCGTGGATCATTGCCGGTTATATTGGCGATATTTGTGTGCTGAGCTCGGGCTTGTGACCTGTGATGATCTGTTTTTTTCCCCAAAAATTGTGGCCCATGAGCAAACTTTAGAAGAATGTCCTCACTAACTTGGGAGGTGCATATATGGGGTGAAATTATAGAAACATGCGGCAAATTTTCTTGTTGCATGCAGAAGATTGATCGGGATGGTAGTAGTCACTAGTAAGAAAATGACTACGTTTAGACCAGGGACTCCTAAGTCTGGGGGGGGGGGGGGGGGGGAGTCATCACAGACCACAAGCCCAAAAAACAGAGCCTCGTGTACAACGTCATTACATCCGGTATGAAAATGGAGGTGGAGACAGTAACGGCAGCTTTCATATAGCCTGATAGCAGCACAGCTTAACATCTTGTCATTGAAACAGACTCGCAGAGCATGCTTCAGAAAATTGAAACTGGTGTCCTGCGCGCGGAGTGGCTTGCATTCATTTGATAAGACCCAGAACAAGAGCAGGTCATGGATTTTCTGTGCATGAGATTCAGGTGTGCAAGGTAACGAGTTGGCTGATAATAGATTAGCTGCTGCCGCTCTTCTGGGTGGTGAGCTACTGCTTGATAAAAGCGATAAAGGCTGAATATGATCAAATAGAAATTGCAAAGGAACAGACAGGGAATCGCTGCTGCCGCTCTTCTGGGTGGTGAGCTACTATTTGATAAAAGCGATGAAGGCTGAATATGATCAAATAGAAATTGCAAAGGAACAGACAGGGAATCGCTGCTGCTGCTCTTCTGGGTGGTGAGCTACTATTTGATAGAAGCGATGAAGGCTGAATATGATCTAATAGAAATTGCAAAGGAACAGACAGGGAATGGCTGCTGCTGCTCTTCTGGGTGGTGAGCTACTATTTGATAGAAGCGATGAAGGCTGAATATGATCTAATAGAAATTGCAAAGGAACAGACAGGGAATCGCTGCTGCTGCTCTTCTGGGTGGTGAGCTACTATTTGATAGAAGCGATGAAGGCTGAATATGATCTAATAGAAATTGCAAAGGAACAGACAGGGAATCTATATATTGAAGGACTAATTCAACGGGGGAAAAGGGGGGGGGGGTGTTGAGATTCTGGAAGATTTACGGCACTGAAGAGGAAACAGAGGCGGTTGCAACTGGTTCTATTAGCAAGTCAACTCTTTGTTGGTGACTGAAGAAGAGGGCGGAGCACGTGTGGGAATGTCCCGATTGCAGTGATGTCTATTCTTGATTGATTGATTGATGCTGGGCAGGTTCTGCACGGTCTTGTGAAGGATACACACCTAGCTTTTAAAAAAAAATCTCTGTTACTGAAAAAGAAGCATGTACAGAGTTGATTTCATCAACGCTGTACGGACTAGGCTAGGGAATAATGTTGAATCTCCTACGCTAACTTGATTGCGTGACCAAGGAATTCAGCTTGGTTCAGCACGTCTATGCCTTCTTCAAGGTAAAGACAGGAGACACTATAGCCAATAGTGGCTGCTGCATCAGAGGACTGAGTGGGCATGGGAATTCCCAGTGTGCAAAGACGTCAGTTGTGATTACTTCTTCTTCTTCTTCTTCAGCATTCCGAGCCCTTGAGATTCATTGCTGCAGATATTCCCCACTCATCTCTCTGGTTGGATATAAACCTGAACGAAAAGTGTATCAGTGAGCTTCACAATACAACAAATACACGCAAAACGTGAACGTTGCGGCTATGGAGCCTTCATCAGCACAAAACAATAGAGCACCGCATAGACGAGTGTGACAGGCACAAACAGATAGTATTAGTTCTGGGTGGGCAGGACACACAAGGTATGTGAAATTAATGCTGGTTGGCTTTCTCTGTCCAGGTGGTGACGCCAAGTGTCCAGTTGTCATAACATAACATTTAAATATGTTCTAGTCATTTTCCATTTGGAGTTTTTATAAACTATAATGTAATGGAGATTTCAAAAACATGAGTCAGCTGCTTGTTACAGAGCCAGTTCGACATTACTGCCACGTATCGGGGTTAGTCTGTCTCACATAGATCTGTACAAAGCTTCTGTCTCTCCCATCAATGCCGGAACTCTTCAGCGTTTTGTCGTTGCTCAGTTTCCTGGTCCGGTGAAACCATTCTTGGTGTGCAGGGTCTCCAAACTAATGGGAGTAAATCACAAAGTATCATTTGTTTTCAATTAAAATAACCAAATTAAACAATGGATACATCATGCCGATAGTTTTATTTTTACATGTGTTAGAACTAAGCAAATCACCATATAAGTATTGAATGCGGCATACATCGTGCATTAGATTTGATTTTAAACTTCCGGTCACAATTGACGCTAGGCGCGGTCACTGTTTTGAGCAGTGGCAAATTTTTTTTTTTTTTTTTGTGCTTCTGTCAGACGGTGGCCGTTGCATTTTTGCTCAATTTGTACCAAGGTCTAGGTTAAAAGAGATGTCTTTTCACTTGGGGTAGCTCAAGTGTATCTGCCATTCACTCGCACTGTGCGTTCATCATGCAGTATTTAAACTACCATCAAATATAGGATTTTTACTAGAAGATGCACACCACATTTGAGTTGAGAAGAGAAGTTTCATATAAATGATATTATAAACACCTCTTGTACTGTATTCTAGACTATTTGGCGTACCAAGGCGTCTGACCAACAACATCCGCTCCATCATCCATACCACCAATCAGGATCTGTATTCCTTCCTTGTCGACATCAAGGACATAATGAACGGTGAACAACATCTGGTTCTCACAGTCACCAACCGAACCATTTGCAGCCCGTAAGCTGCTCGTCTGTATCCCATTCGATCTGACACTCTCGGATGAGGAGCGCTCTTTTCTTGATAAAGACCTGACAGCTCAAACCGCAAAACAATGTTTCTCTTTTAAAGTCTTTTTCTTCTTCTTCTTTTCATTCGTCTGAGTGACGTATTTGTGTTAAGACTCTTTACAACGAAGCTGCGATATATGCGCCTTTTAGCCGACACATCCGACTGCATCGAGTATTTTTTGAGCGAGTTAACTTACCGGCATCTCAAAAGTCAGCCAATGTCGATCACGTTGTACCCCCACCCCCAGCTCCCCACTGGTGCACCAAAGGTTCTGGGGTTGTATATCATCAATACCCTTCACCCCCACTGGTGCATCCAAAGTACTGGGCTTGTATATCATCAACCCCCCCCCCCTCACTGGTGCATCCAAAGTTATGGGCTTGTATATCATCAATACCCTCCACCCCACCCCACCCCCACTGGTACATCCTAGGTTTTGGGTTTGTATATCATCAACACCCTCCACCCCACCCCCCACCCCCCCCCCCCCCCACCTCACTGGTACATCCAAGGTTCTGGGTTTGTATATCATCAACACCCTCCACCCACACAGGTGCATCTAAGGTTCTGGGCTTGTATATCATCACCATCCACCCCTCTTCCAGCCCCCTACTGGTGCATCTAAGGTTCTGGGCTTGTATATCATCATAACCTTCCACCCCCCACTGGTGCATCCAAGGTTCTGGCCACTGGTGCATCTAAGGTTCTGGGCTTGTATAGCATCCATACCCCCAGCCCCCACTGGTGCATCCAAGGTTCTGGGCTTGTATATCATCAATACCCCCAGCCCCCACTGGTGCATCCAAGGTTCTGGGCTTGTATATCATTAACATCCCTAGTCTCCACTGGTGCATCCAAGGTTCTAGGCTTGTATATCAACAATACCCTCCACCCCCCCCCCCCAACTGATGCATCTAAGGTGCTCGGCTTATATGTCATCAACACTCTCCACCCCCTCCACCCCCCCCCCCCAACCCCCACTGGTGCATCCAAGGTTCTGGGCTTGTATGTCATCAACACCCTCCACCCCCACCCCTCAGCCCCCAACTGGTGCATCTAAGGTTCTGGGCTTGTATATCATTAACACCCTCCACCCTCACCCCTCAGCCCCCCACTGGTGCATCTAAGGTTCTTGGCTTGTATATCATTAACACCCTCCACCCCCACCCCTCAGCCCCCCACTGGTGCATCTAAGGTTCTGGGCTTGTATATCATTAACACCCTCCACCCCCACCCCTCAGCCCCCAACTGGTGCATCTAAGGTTCTAGGCGTGTATATCATTAACACCCTCCACCCCCACCCCTCAGCCCCCCACTGGTGCATCTAAGGTTCTGGGCTTGTATATCATTAACACCCTCCACCCCCACCCCTCAGCCCCCAACTGGTGCATCTAAGGTTCTGGGCTTGTATATCATTAACACCCTCCACCCCCACCCCTCAGCCCCCAACTGGTGCATCTAAGGTTCTGGGCTTGTATATCATTAACACCCTCCACCCCCACCCCTCAGCCCCCCACTGGTGCATACAAGGTTCTGGGCTTGTATATCAGGAGCAGTGACCACTATCTAAATCCAGCCTTTTCATCGGCCAATTGATGACACTCTCATACATTAGAAAGAAGGATGACATTATCATACGGTCCACTGACAAAGGAAGAGTTGTGATCTTAATTTTAGAACCATAATTAACTTCTTAAAGAACAGTTATTTTCCTCAACTCACCATACTTCTCAAATCCTCCTTGAGACCACCAATTAATGCACCAATCGAGCATTCTGCCTGAGAATAAAGCAATTGTCCCAATGCATGTAAAAGCATAAAACCATTTTCAATTATTGCATGTTGTGATTTCTGTGAGGGTACATTTAAGATGGAACTTTTGAAATATGAAGGACTCTCTCTCTCTCTCTCTCTCTCTCTCTCTCTCTCTCTCTCTCTCTCTCTCTCTCTCTCTCTCTCTCTCTCCCCCCCCCTCTTAATTAACCCCACCAGGACATCACGCGAAGCAATAAATACCCGGTGACACAAAGTGCCACCATAATGCAGTCAAAAATTCGGCGTGACCCCTGCGACGCACATTTTGTCATACCCCACGATCCTTCTTGATCACACAGGTTATATGTAACCCCACCCCACCCTTAACACACAAAAATACACACACACACACACACACACACACACACACACACACACATCAGCTGTTAACCTAAGGTATAGACCTATCATGCTACGACAAGCTCCAAAGACCCTCAACAAATACTACCATGTGGATGCTGATTGTCCCTGTGTCTGAGATCTGGAAGTTGAACTCGATTCGAATGAACTGTTCGGCTTCGGCTTCTTGGTACGGCACTATCCGGATGTGAAGCATCGTCAGCTCTGCAAGAATAAATATATTTGTCGAAAAAATATTACTGAGAAAACTACGTTACAACTGCAGTATTCCTATTAGCTGCAGTATTCCTATTAGCTGCAGTGTTCCCCATGTGTGTCTTGGGGTCCCAGTGTAGGGAAAACAAGAACAGATATGCATCTGCATGAGAGGCAAGGAACCAACTGTTTGCTTAGAAATAAGCAAGATCTGTGAAACGGATATGCAGCAACACTCAGGTTCTGGAACAAGACTTCTGTCTAGAGGTGGACGAACAGCCAAAACTTTTCACTGCGGGTTACAGCCGCTGAACGCGAAAAAGAAGAAGAACAGTTGCAATAACATAATTGTGTATACATACGTATGTGTTATCTATGAGTGTATGGATGGATTTATGGATGGAAGGATGGATGTATGTATCGATGAATGAGATTATATGCAAACGCTTTGTTAACAAGAGGACTGCAATCTGAAGAAATTCACTCAGTGCTGCTAAATAATATCATTGCCGGCATTGCAATATTTTCTGATTTTAATCATCAGTCAGTGATACTAGCGTGACCAGTGATACTAGCGTGACCAGTGATACTAGCGTGACCAGTTATACTAGTTCTAACAAAAGTACAATCACCTGTCAGTGATACCAGTTCTATCACCAGATACAAGTACCACAAAAATGGTAAAATAAAGGCAAAAATTTGCAGTTTTGGCAGATACCAGTTCTATCACAGGATACAAGTCACTGATACAACCACCATTCATTGATACTAGTTATATCATATACAATTACAAATCAGTGATACTATTGCTACTTCAGTGACATGGTAAACACTGGTCTATATGTATCATGTCTACCGCCACACACGGCAGTTACTAACAATTTTGTTCTTTCAGAAAAATGGACCCATTCCTGTGTCCAATTTCACATCTTGAAAAGTCTGCTTTAGAAGTCAGAACAATTTGTTTATATAAAAGGAAATACATACCAGTGTCTTCCTATCTCGGGTCGCACAAATCGCTAAGGGAATTCCCGAAATAAATTACGTTTATGGAAATATCCTTTAAGTCAGCGGTTCTCAAACTGTTTTCCCAGCGGCACCATTGTCGGGCACACACATTTCGCGGCACATCTACTCTTAAAGCAGTTGACGACTTAGGGATGGAGGGAAAAAAATGAAGATTTAATGTTCAGTTGTCTTTAATGCAAGGAGTGAATCTGTCTGGGTGCATTTTGCATTATATCCTTTTCCTTATCATTTTTAGAAATTCTCTCCAACATGAATGACCCTGCCTGAAGAGATAAAGCGCGGAGTTTAAAGTTTTCCTAATCTTTGCGTACTAAATCAGAATGACTGCATTTCAGATATCTCTGTAATTTAGACTGAACCAAGCAGCTATTAGCAACACTTATATGGCAGTTAACACATTGCCCTTCCGGTGCCTGTTCGTTCCCAACCGAAACAAAGCCAACAAAGAAGGGTAACTTGGATAATATTTTTTTAGTTTTCCTCAGACTTTCTTTTGGTTGTTTTGCCTTTTGCAGACCAGTTTTAATGGCTTAGGCTCGCAGGTGTCTGCTGAGACAATGTAACCATAACTGTGCTTGTTGACTGCACCTTAACGAATTCAGGTGGAAGATCAGTCGCATTTCGAGATCAATACATGAAAATTCTTAGCGTAGCGGTTGTCATTTTATGCAGTATGAAGCACGGCTGAGCGGGAAACAAACAATAAACTCTTTTTGACAGCGGCGAGGGAAGACAACTTATATTTAAACTCTTACGTATCTGTATGCATTCTTTGATAATTTCGCAATGTTTAGCCGACTTTTCTTGATTACTGCCGCAGCACCCTTTGAATACGCTCGCGGCGCCCCAGGGTGCGGCGGCACCCAGTTTGAGAACCTCTGCTCTGTTGTGGGAGGGGAAAAAAGGGGGAGTGTTTGTCTTTTCAGTTGAATCAGAGCAATGTTTGCCCATTGTGAATACCAACAAAGAAGACATAAAACAATATTTTGCACAATTTATTGCCAAGCATATTTCGCTGTATCGAGTCAGGTGCATACTACAGCCCAAGGAACGCATCCTATATTCTTAGAAGCCCAATTACCGTATGATGCATCGATTTTATTACCTTTATTTTTTGGCACCCCTTAGGCCTGTGATGCTAAACCCAGTGGAACTCAAAGAGAATAAAGAATACACATAGGTCATGTTTGTATTGTCATGAGTTCTACATGCGACAATGAAATAATGTAATTTAATTGAACCTGAATGCAAAGGGCTGCTTGTGACCAACGGGCCGATTGTCTGGCGTGCCTGCTTTAGGGACAAGACGTCTGCAGAACCAACCCCAACATTTGTTCCATCGTTTGTGATTTCACTAGCCAGTTTTACCTTACGTAGATTGCCGTTACTTACTAAACGGTCGGCTATTGACACTGTTGTTGAAACCAAAGCAAGGCTGTCTGCTGTCAAATCGTCCGCAGCTGGAATCAAACCCGACACCCCAGAATTACAAAACGGGTTCGTTCACAACACTTAAGTAACATACGGCGACGTGTTGTAAATACAAAATGTAGTATACTGGTGCTTTGTGTGGCGAAAGTACAGCAGCAATGTGGGAGGTCAGGTCCGCGGGCCATACAACGCCCGCTGGTTACACTATCCACGTCCGGCTGTATATTTATATCTAGAGTTGGCCGTGCACTATCCTACGGATGCGCCAATTATAACTTTTTAGAAGGTTGAACCACCGCCAACTCTAGATTTATAGCTAAAGATGGCCGTGGTTGAACTGAGTATCTGGGATTTGCCATGACCTACTTTAAATGGTCAAATTAGTGGTTGCTGTTAGCTGCAAAACTTGGGCTAAGACCAGGTGTGTAGTTTTTCGGAGTGTCGCGAACAATGGAACTGCGAATTTTACGTGTGTATTTACCCTGCTTTCTATTTACATTTTCGAAATAGGCTGTTGTAAAAATGCCATTAACTATGCTTGCGAAATGTTCTGTATCTGAGTGTGGACTTCAAGTGGATATGTGAGTTTGTTTAAATTTTCTTCGGATGCTCGGTTAAGAGAAAGATGGCTGAAATTAGTTCCACGGGAAAAAATTGGACACCTGAGAAAACGAATGTAGTATGTGTGAAAACGTTTTTTACTTATGATATTATTGTTTCTGATGGATGAAATATGTGTTAAATTATAAATTAATTACTCTGGGGGGAAACTATTTCTTCTTCTGCCTTTTTATCCCCCAATGGAGCATAGGCCCTCAACCAACTCACGCCAAGTCGTTCTATTTTCTATCCTTCGCCATTACATGGAGCTCTCCCCATGTCCTCCCAATCTTTCTAACCTCATTCTCCAGCTCTCTTCTCCATGTGTTTTTTGACCTTCCTTTATTCCTATGCCCCTGTGGGTTCCAATGCAAAGACTTTCTAGTTATGCTGTTCTCCTGTTTTCTCAGTGTGTGCCCTATCCAACGCCAGCGTCTTTTCCTCACCTCCTGATCCACTGGAGCCTGTTTAGTTCTCTCCCAAAGTTCTACATTAGTTATTCTGTCATACCATTTTATTCCCTCTATTCTGCGCAGGCACCAGTTAATGAATGTCTGTAATGTATTAGTAATTGCCTTCGTTGTTCTCCATGTTTCCGCCCCATACAATAGTACTGATTTGACATTAGAATTAAAAAATTTTAGTTTAGTATTTCTTTTAATTTCTTTTGACATCCACAAATTCCCTAGTGCTATGAAAGCCCCTCTTGCCTTTTGTATTCTTATTTTAATATCTCTATCAGTTCCTCCATCTTTATCTACATTACTGCCCAAATAGGTGTACGACTCCACGTCTTGGAGTGGGGTGCCATTAAGAGAAACCACATTACTATTTGCCTGATTTATTCTCATTATCTTTGTCTTTCCTTTATGGATTTTCAGACCAAGCTGCTGTGATCTCGCATTAAGTATATTTAATTTATCTTGTATCTGATTCCGTGAATGGGACAGAAGGGCAATATCATCAGCGAAGTCCAGATCATCAAGCTGTTTTTTAGGGGTCCACTGAATTCCATTCTTGGTGTTAGCAGTTACTGTTTTCATAGTCCAGTCTATAACCAGTAAAAATAGGAGAGGCGACAAAAGACATCCCTGTCGTACACCTGTTTTTATTTCAAATGCATCTGTTAGCTTTCCCTCATGAAGAACTAGACATTTCATGTCCTTATATGTTGCCTTTACTAAGTTGATAATTTTCTGTGGGATTCCATAGTGCCCCATCAATTTCCAGAGAGATTCCCTATCAATGCTGTCAAATGCTTTTTCATAGTCTATAAATCCAATGTAAAGTGGTGAGTTCAGTTCAATGCTTTGCTCTATTATAAACTATTTGGCAATGCAAAATTCAAAAGAAGCAGTAAAAGTAAAAGCTGTGCAGGCTTTCCTCATTTGTTCAATTTTTGAAAGCTATCGGGAAGAAATAGTACTTTTACTTGTTTACTTATTACGCAACTAGAAATTCAAGAAAACTATGAACTTTTCGCAGTAGCACAACTTTATATTATATGAATTATCAATAACAGATGACATCACGTGCCTCCTCAACATAAGCGCCGCCTTTATTGGCTGGTTTTATAACTATATCCTCTCTGTTTCTAAGTGATGATAGGGTTCTCCGTTCACCAGGGGAGAGGTTGAGTTAGAAAGTCGATGTTATTTAATCTGTTGGACTTCATTAAGCGTGTTTTTAATATATAAATCAAGTGCGACGGTATAAATCATGCCAGACGGTATAAATTTCGGAACTAATCGATACTGTTTGTTAACCCATTGTCAGCAACCTCCCCTCATTCGTTAAAGATACTAACCATAGTCCTAACATTTTGGGGATTTGTCAGGTTACACCCTGGCAAAACTTACTTCCTTTTCCTGTTAAATGTATACTCTCTTTATACATCTATCCCTATGCTGATGGGTTGCAGGCGATCCGTTTTTTTGTGGA